TACACACAATATAACAAATGCAACATACTTCTGAGCACTTATGTGCTATATATACATTTTTTTTCAAACACTTATGATCCGGCAATGGATAGAATGCAACCCACTCTGGCTCATTTAAAACTTTTTTAAGATGAATTTCCTTTTCAGCATCAATTACTCTTTTATATAAACTAGAAATCTGGGCAACATCCAGAATCTAGTCATGTCTCTGGAGACCTAACTGTTTGGAGGACTTCACCTCTGGTTTAAAATAATCAGTCTCCTGGAAGACCTGGGCTTGAAATAGAATCAGTCTCTTACCAGCTGCCTAACCTTGGGCAATTCACTTATCCTTACTGAGCCTCCTTTTCCTCATCTACAAGAAGAATACTAAGTATCTTTTTTTGCATTGCCATTGTCAGTATTAAATGAATTTATGTACTTGCAAAAGTATTTTTTCATGGGAAGACAATTAGAAACAATGATACGATACCACATGTGCCAAATATAATACATGTGCTCTTCCCAGTGTAGCACAAACTACCAGAGTGACCTTGAGCAAATACTGTCACCTCTCTGCCACTTTTGTACATCTACAGAAAGAAAAGACAGAACTAGAAAGCATTTCATTGGCCACATTGTTCTAACACACTTTGATTACTCATTCTAAAAATAATAATGCTGCCTCGAGTTCCAGCAGGTCAGGGACTTCTGTTTTCTTCAGTGCTATACTCACTGTGCCTAGAAAACTCACTGACATATACTAAGTGCCCAATCTTATTGAATGAATGAATGCAGAAAATTTGCATAAAAAGCAAACCTTGCTGTAATATAGTACTTCTAGATATGTCCAGATTAAAAAAGGGAAGGAGAGTTTAAGTTATTACCATGAAGTATGTGTGCGTGATGTGCCTGCGCATACACGTACGGTCTCTCTCATATACTGTGGCTGAAGAGCACATGCTGAAGCCCAAATTCAAATGATGTTTCCTGATTAAGGTGAAGTACTCAAACAAAACCTAGGAAGAAACTATCTCAGCATGTAATAATCAGAGACTTTTTTTTAAGACCCTCCTGAAACAAAAGAAAATCCTGATGATTGTATTTTTTAAAGATGTTGTTTATTTATTTGAGAGAGAGAGAGTACACACATGCGTGCAGGCACACAAGCGGGGAGAGGGGGTGGAGGGACAGACAGACTCTGCTCTGTGAGCGCTGATCCCCATTAATTAGTCAGTTGAGTCAAAGAGGATAATTTGCCGACTCTCACAAAACAGCAACCTTTACTCAGCTTTGGGCTGTTGAGGTCATAGAAGGCTGCTAGGTCCAGTATTCTGAAACTTCCAACTAAACAGAGAAGCCAGAAATTCAGATTTTATATGAAACCTCTCAATCTTTAAGTGCTGACAAGGAATTCAAATGGATATACTTATATGGAAAAATAAACAAAAAACCTGTTGGATCTCTTGGTTTAAGGAGAATAGAAATGCAGTAGAAGGTCAAAGAAGGAATATTTGCTGGGTGCCGACACTGTGCCAAGTTCTACTCTCAGTCCCACTTTTTAAATCCTTATGTAAAACTATACCTCAGTAATTTGTGCTCCATTTTATAAATTTAAACACAATAAAGTAAGTTATCCTTCTAATACATGTTTACGGAAGTTCTCTTGTATGCCGGGACCTGAGCCAACTTGTAGAAACACTGCAGAATGGTAAATGTGAGATAGCCATAAGAAGCCCAGGAGCTGACAAGCATAGAAAATGTATCACAGGTGCAGTGATTGTTTCTAAGAAGTGTGTGGAATATGTGCATGACTTTAAGGGATGGATAACAGTGTTTCTCTTAAATACTTGCCTAATTCTTAAGTGCAGATTTGGGGTAACTAAATAAAATATTCATTCCTAAGGCCTGAAGTTCGGAAAATATTCTGAAAAGGAGATTATTCTTATTCACTTAGTTTAATAAAGGCTTTCAGACTGGGGGAGTTCTGAGTCAGATCAAATCAAGACAGCCTTACAAGAACAGTCTTCCCGGAAGCTATCAGATCAAATAAGGACAATTCCCTGGGATCCAGCCTTTGAAGAATCTCCTGTCCCACTCTGCTGATCCAGTGCATGCTAGCCTGCTGCTTTTTTACCTTGCCAGCAGGTTTTTGGTTTTTGAAGGCTACCTCACAGCTGGAGAGGCAGGAAAGAACATAAGGCACCTTAAAATGATAACGCTATTAAAATAAAGTAAAAGAAAGAAAGAAAAAAAATATCCAGTTCCAATAAATAATAAAATTTTTAACCTAATTTAATCTTTACATTTTTTTTAAATGCTAAAGTTAGTGCTGCTGTTCTAACAACAGTCCATCATTTTTCTTGCATAAATGATCCCTGTATTGCTCCAAGACTGGCTAATTTCCGGAGTTCCAGAAAATTGATTCTGACAATGTTTGCCAGTTTTCTCATGGCTTTTATGGAGAAGAATATTTGTAGAGGCCTTTACTCCACAATTTTTGATGGCATCACTTTTGATCTATATTTCACCTAGAATAAGATTGCTTATCTAATCATAAATGGCACAGCCTAACAATAGAGTAATATATTAATTAATTCTTATTAGAATTAATTACACCTTGAACACTCATTTCTTTAAACTATAATTTTAAAATTTCCTTTACTTTGTATTTGAATGACATAACACAAAATGAAACATCTATGTACTGTACACATTGGACAAGTGTGGACAAGTACATACTTGGGCAAATAAATGCACATTCACTAAGTTTCTCTACCTTAAATTTTTTTCTTTAAAATTAACATCAGGCATAGTTATGTCAAAAGAAACATAATTCAAAACATTGTAAGAATGTTGGAAAGGAAACTCATTGATTAAAAAACTGAACGAAGGGCACCTGGGTGGCTCAGTCGGTTCACAATCCGACTCTTGATTTCGAATCAGGTCATGGTCTCAGGGTCATGGGATCGAGCCCTGTGTTGGGCTCTGCACTGAGTGTGGAGCCTGTTTAAGATTCTCTCTCTCTCTCCCTCTGCCTACCCCCGCCCTCACTGACACTCTCTCTCTAAAAATATATATATATATATATAAGTTAATTGAAATCTAAAAATTTGAAAAAATTAAAAACCGAACAAAATATACAGTATACTAACAATTATAATGGAAAGAAAAAGAAAGCATAAAGTTGTTAGAATGAATAGAGCTCATTCTGGATATGAAGGGACTATGTTGTTATAAAGGAAACGATTGTGTTTTATACAAAATTCATGTACAAAATTGGGTAATCTCCCCCCAAATTTTAGCTGCAAAAGCAACTACGAATCAGATTTACCCTCAAAGATGCACTCTGACAAATCTTCTTCTGAATAACTTCTGGATAGAAAGAGGAGACACACAAAACTAAATTCAAAGGGAATATGACATATTTTCTCAGGCTTTTAAAAAATTAACTTCAACCCCACCTGTCAGCCATCTTCCCAGAAAGGGCAATTTAAAATATTGACATAACAGATCATTTTTGGTATGTGAAAAAATTCAGACTACAAAATATAGCTATAGGTTCTCATAGATGGATATTAGCCAGCCATTTACTTGTACAGGGGTAATGATAGATGAAAGAAAGAAAATCATTTGAGGTGAAGGGTAGGAGGAGGAAAACAGAAAAGAAGAAGGAAGAACATAAGAAAGATAAAAGAGGGACTAAGAGAATAAACACCATTATGTTGGCACTAGCTATACCTGGTCGGTACTATACTTTCTCCCTTTGGCTTATATTTATGTCCTAATATCTTAACAATCTGTTAATATACTTTATTTATAGTGTATCTCTAAATGTAACCATAATTTTTAACAACCAAAAAGAAATACCATGTTAATGAAAGAAATCACATTGAGATTAGGATGTTAGCATATAAACTATGAATTAGAACAATTAATACCACTCGTTTTACCTCCATAATAACTCTGTTTGTAAAGGACTGAATAATATACCTGATTTTTTCATCAAATGCAAAAAAAAAATAATAACAATAAGTTTTAACTATTTGGATTATGACAATATTAGATTACTTAATTACACCAAAATTAACTTTGGAAGTCATATGAACTATTATCAGTGTGAATAATTTTCTAAATGAATTACATATACACATTATACCATAAAGTTTTAAATGTTCAAATTGTTTAAATTAAATTCTCAAAATAGAGTATTGAAAAATACTATTTGTCCTTGCCACAAAATGGTTCTATAATGAATTTGGGCAGTTTGAGTATGAAAATTATAAAATAGTTAATTTTTTTAATTTCATAAACTTTATTATGTTATGTTAGTCACCATAAATATTAAAGTTATATGTAAATAAAAATCTCTCAAAATCTGAATTGTTTTGAATATAATAGTCATGCAATACAGTTATATTTTCTGTGTAATATAATGATTTTATGCCACAATATTTTACTTACATTCATTTTCCATCTGATAATATAGATATATTTTTAATTGAGCAGAAGATAACAGAATACTTTTTAATATAATCCATGTATTAAGATTGTTAGTATTATACATTAACATGCATATTGCTTTAAAAATGGCTTACCTAATCTTTACCCAAAATACTTTATTTCTAATGTACACCAGTAAAATAAATTACTAGCAAAAACAATTACTGATTATAAAAATCTTCCAATGAAACACCTTTCTGAAAGTTTTCACTGAAGAAAAATTTAAGAATTGGAAGAAAACCTTTGATTACTGACTTGATAGTCTGAGAAACTTTTAATCTCAGTAAAATTTAAAGGAATTTCTTATACCATTTTCATTCACTAATGTAGTGAATAAAATACAAAATAAACTGTGTTTGAATCAACACTGGTCACTGACATGTTAACTTTTATTTCCTGTTCAATATAACCAGGATAATAGCAAATCAAAATATATTCAGTTAATTTTCATGTGTGACAATTAACATGCTGTCAACTCAGATAGCTTAAATTGTAGGGAAAATATCATAAAGGCTTACCCCATTTTTTGGAAAAGCAATCCATCCCAAGTCCCCCATGACAGTACGTGAATCCAACAAATTCACTGAAAGAAAAAGAACACAAAACTGAGTCAATTGTATAAAAAAGTATACCATTTTCATAGTGTTATTAAAGTGCATATTTCTTACATAACTGAAGTTAAATTAAGTATTCATCATGAATATGAGAGTTGTAATTTAATGAAAACATTATTTGGATGCACAAGAACAAGTGATTTTGAATAAACATTTGGAGAACAATTACAGCAAAAATACATAAACAAGTCATTACTCTAAGTGCTCTTTCTTGTCAAATAAGAATAAAGGAAAAGTATTAGTAAAAAGAAAAAAAAAATGAAAGTCCACAGAAAACCGTAAGGACTATGCCACTCCTTTAAAGGCTCTCAATTTGGGGATTAAGCTGCCATAAATTTGTGACTACACATATTGTATTTTCTTCTGAAAAGCTATTATGAAGCAATTAACAAATAACTTACATTAAACAGAAATAAGCTATCCCCAAGTTTGTAAGATTTTTTTTGTGATATTAACTGAAATCTGTAATCCAAATTGCAAGTTAAATTAAGAAATAAATCTACACACCCATAACTAAGCCAAGAAAATTATAGCAGCTCTCAGGGTTGTTGCTAGAGTTAAGTGTCCACTGCATTCCCAAAAATATCTTCTACTTACAAATAACCACAGTCTACAATGTGCTTCTTATAGAACTATCAGCTACATTTTTGAAATGCAGACCTCAATTATGGCTGGATATACATAAATATTTGGAACTCTCAGAATGGAAGTCTGAATATCATTATTACAAAAGGAAGCCATGAAAGAGTGTGTACACACTCATGCACCACAGTCATACACACACACACAGTGTTTATGCAACAAGTTTATCTATTGTTCTCCTCCCCCCACCCCAAATCAAACTAGCTTACAGGATGCTGAGTAGTCAAACTGCTTCAGACCTGGGTCACAGACGATCATCTTTCCAGCCTATTATGCCTATCCCAAGTGATCTACCTGGCCCACCAGGCAGCTGAAACAGTCTGAAAGGGAAACAACTGGGTTATCCCTAGTCAGAGGTACTGAAGCTTCCTTATACTACATTCAAGAAACACTACCTTGAAATGCTACCAATTCTAAAAAAGAAAAAAAAAAAGATTCTATCTGTAAATGTGAAGCTAGAGTACTAAAGTAGTAATAGCTGATAGACGGAGAATGTGTTACAATACTACTATAAGAAAATATAAGATGAAATTATTACAACCAAGGACATTAGGATCACAATTGAAATAAAAATTTTCTACACACTATAGAAATTATGTGCATTTAAGCCTTATTATCCATTTTTATTTCATGTAACATATGCAAACTTATAGATCTTATACACTAAGTTAACAGTCTATAATAATACTAGTTATATAAAGATAAATCAAAGTTTTAAAGTTTTAGAAAACACAGATATATACTCAACACCACATATACATGGCAGTCTTCTATGATGTGTGTGTATTCAATATACTTGTCTACTTCTCTCATTAGGTTCTGAGCTCTTTAACTCTAAAAATCTATGCCCATAGAATGTTTGCATCATCTTTAGCCTACACATATCAGAGTGGCTTTATAGAATAATAAAATAAATAATTTGTTGGATTATTCTTTTTTAGAAGAAATTGGCCTAGTTGAAAAACTATTGTTGAAAACAGCAAAAACAAACGAAAACTGTTCCACTACCGACTGACCTTGCAAATCCACCAGTCATCCCACTAAATCTAATTTTTTAGTTAGATCCATACTCTTTTTACTCTCTTGTTGGCTTTTCTAGTTTCCATGGGAATAAAGTTACATTAAACTTAAATGCCCTTGTCCTCATTTCAGTTTTTCTGGGACACTAGGGCTATGTCTAGACATGACTAAATACCATGGGAGTGCAGAACTTAAATTGTTATGTTTGTTCATCCTTTTGATTCATTTGATTCACCTTTGATATTGAGTAGCAGCATATCTGTGTAGACCTGATAAAGTAGAGCAAATCAGCAAGCTAAAGGCCTTCTACTATGATGGCAGTCAAATTGAACTTAATCCTATATTGGCAAACTGATGTGAATAGGAATTCTAGGAATTCATAACTAGCCTGCCATGAGAAACACAACATTCCTTGTAGACCTCTTAGTAACATGTGGATCTTCAAATATTTATTATTACCAACAGAATTCCAGATGTCTTTCTAAAATTTAGTTACCCCCACTTGAATTAACTTTAATCTAAATTACTATTCTTAACTCTTTTTTGGCTTAAAATATATATGTGTATGTGAAATTAAATGAATGAATTCAAAATACTAGCTTGGCTGTTAATACATTTTTGGGAATTTTCAACATTGGCATACATTTCTAAAGACTGTATTTATTTATTTGACAGAGAGAGACACAGCAAGAGAGGGAACACAAGCAGGGGGAGTGGGAGAGGGAGAAGCAGGCCTCCCGTGGAGCAGGGAGCCCGATGCAGTGCTAGATCCCAGGACCCTGGGATCATGACCTGAGCCAAAGGCAGATGCTTAACGACTGAGCCACCCAGGCGCCCCGGCATACATTTCTAAACACATGAAAATACCCACAACAAAATGTACATTATCTTTCTTATGATGATCTTGTCAAAAGTTTTTCTTCAAAGAAATAGATTAGGAGGTTTATAAGATACACACATATGTCACTTCCCACTGCTGTCTAAGATTGGTTTTGTTTTGGAAACAAATGTTTTCATAAAATTCACAATGCAAAGAAGATACTTATACATATGATTACTAAATTAGAAATTGAAAAAAGAGTAAAATAGATGTTTCAGGCAATTACTTGCAGATTACTATATTATAATTTTTTCTTTTTTAAAGATTTTATTTTTATTTATTTGACAGAGAGAGACACAGCGAGAGAGGGAACACAAGCAGGGGGAGTGGGAGAGGGAGAAGAGGGCTTCCCGCCGAGCAGGGAGCCCGATGCGGGGCTCGATCCCAGGACCCTGGGATTGTGACCTGAGCCAAAGGCAGACGCTTAACGACTGAGCCACCCAGGTGCCCCTATATTATAATTTTTTCATATAATTCAGAGGAAATTGGAAGTTGATGCCTCAGGAAAAATAATTAAAATTATAGTTAGGTAGATAGAGATATTTACATAGAGACAGAAATAGATATATAGAGAGAGATATAAATGTATAGATAGAGATATAGAGTGTTAGCTTTCTTAAACTTCCAAGTTTTGCACATGCTGCTTTAGCTGTCTCAAATGTCCTTCCACCCCCTTTTGAATTGCTAACTTCATTTGTCCAACAAAACTTCATTTGTCCACATTTCGGGAACTGTTATCTCTAGGAAGCCATCTCTATTCTTCTTTATTACTGAATATTATATTAGCAACCAATTATTATTTCCAAAACACTGAATACACAGAATTGTATTGTCCCCTTAAAAGAATACCATGTTTGACTCATGCCTATGAACCTAGCCTGCAGTCAGAAGAGCTGAATAGCTGTTTGTCTTATTAATGAATCATTTGGTCAGTGGGCAGATCAAGAGGGTGTGTCTGAATCAACATACACCAGTGGTTCTCAACATGGGCATCTGATAACGTCTGGAGACATTTCTGATTGTAAAAAATGGAGGGTGGGAGGAGTATTTGTTACTGGCTTCTCACGGGAAGAAACCAGGTATTCAGCTAAGCATTTCTCAATGCACAGCAAATCTTTCCCCACCCCCAGTAAAGAATTATCTGGCTTAAATTTCACTAATGCCAAACTTAAGAAACCCTGGTATACACCTATGATGCTACCAGAAAATCTTTATTTTCACGTTCTTTGTGCAGCACAGCAGTAGCATGATTTTCATTAATAGAAGTTAGCATATTTGAAGGCAATCCTTATAAATTAAAATACTACTATTTAAGGAAATAAGAGTAATAAAAATTGAAATTGTATTTAGGGGGAAATAGATTATTCTTATTACCCAACACCCTTAAATTATTTTTCATATAACTAATATAACTGTTACTATAAGTGTTCTTATTTATGCTCTAATAATTTCTCAACATTCATGATGGCACACGTTTTTCAATTTTTAATTTAGTAATCATATGTATAAGTATCTTCTTTGCATTGTGAATTTTATGAAAACATCTGTTTCCAAAACAAAACCAATTTTAGACAGCAGTGGGAAGTGACATACGTGTGTATGAAAAAACACTACAACACTGATATTATTAATGCCTCCATTTCCTCCACTACTTAAGCTAGTAACATAAAAACCAGAAGTTTAGACATAGGGTATATATAAATGGGAATTTTCAGAAGTTCATTACCCAATTTCATTACCGAATTTATTAAAAGGGGAGATTGGCAGTAATGGAGCACAGTCACTAAGGATCTTCTTTGCAACAGTTACAGTAATTAAATTGTTCTGAACAGTATATATGCTTGTTGTAAACTGCAATGAATACACAATAAGTATTGATCTTCATTGTACAACTTAATTAAAACTTGTCTGGGAGAAGCCACTAATGAATATAATTAGAGGGAATGTTTGATATCACAGTTACTCTAGAAGACATTAATTAGATATCAGAAATTTTATGGAAAATGTTTTTATTCTATTATTTATATTTTAAAATAAAGTCACGCTATTAAACTGAAAGACCGTCTTCAAGGTCATTTCCCTCAACCATTTTATAATTACAGTGAAGATGGGCATATTGGTTGGTACTCTCATCAGTAATTATGAAGACTGATTCTCCAGGAGAAATAACTCTTCAGGGGTCAATGAGTATATAGTCTATTACAAATTCCTAAAGTTAATATAGGAAAAAAAAGATTTACTAATACAGGAACTTTTTAATAAGTAAAAATAAGTTAACCATCTATCCAACCAAATAACAGATTATAATTGAAACTAATTCAAACTAATCTGAAGTATACTTTAATTTTATTACTACACATTAATAATTTGTTTTCTTGAACAAAAAGAGAAAGGCTTTTAAAGAATTTACTTTCAGAAAAGTCAGAC